GAACATCAAAAGTCAGATGATATCCATTCATTTCCCATGGCCAGGACATGGCGTGAATGCAGAACTAGCTAAGCAAATGACGCCACATGGCATGGGCACCGTCAAAACATCCCGTGACATCGGTTTTTCTAAGACCATCGCCACATGCACATTTGAAGGAATTAAAAATGCGATTGTGGTGTTAACCACAATCCACTGTTTACCATGGAAGCAACCTGATCCCAGGAACGTATTTTTCGTGGACTCAAACAAAGAGGCTGGTCATCGGAATTCCTCTCCCTGCATTTTCCCCCACCTCCATCCCCCTTGGTTGCGAACTGACAAACAGGTGGGGTAGGCGCTGCCTTCTGCGTGGCCATCGTCTTAAGTATTCATCAAGAGGCGGAGCAATAAAAGTTTTTCCGGGCACATCATACAATAGTAATGAGAAAAAGTAAATAATACGTCTAATAATACATTACTAACAGGCATACAACTTTATTTTAGACAAAAAAAGGATCGAAAAGAAAATAGCAGTCTAATTAACAGCATGGTTAACCTACCTTGATGGTTGAGAATAACCAGAGTAAGCGCTTGGGTAATTGTACTGAGAGTAACCATTATATGAGGGTTGACTGTACTGATAGTACGGGTACTGTTGGTATTGTGGAGAGCTCCGATAATAAGGCTGCGGCTGGTAGTGCTGATACTGCGGATATTGCGGGTACTGTTGTTGGTAGTGTGCAGGAGTGTTATAGCCGTAGTACTGCTGTGGTTGCGTATAATATGCTTGTCGACCCAAACGTGGATGTTGCTGTCGGGCAGCTTTATCCCGGAAATAGTGCTGAAGGCTTGATGAAGGAGAATGTCTCTTGAAGCGAAGGGAGGCCTCTGCCAAGGCTAGGAGTCCTAGGAAGACGAGGAATTGAAGCGTCATATTTCTCGGGAACAGCTATGGGACTGATCATCGGCTTTACTATATGTAGTCCCCATGGAGGAACACGTTTTCTTGACCGCGATGGATCGCACTGGGTGCAAAATGTTTTATCACTTTGTACGGGAAACGAAATGTACCAGAAGAAGGCGGCCGTTATGACGAGAGAAAGCGAAAACGATTGAGGGACTGTAGAATGATATCATTCTAATCCCACGGATAACTGGTTATGTTATGTTATTTCTGGCCTTCGTCCAACAATGGCGCCTGACCAGGAGTTGACCAAACTTCCCGAATCCGGCTCAGCTCCCTTACTGTACTGGTTCACGCGTCGTGCAAATGAGGTTAATGTTGAAGTTTTAGTAGCGATAAAAATATTCAAACAAACTCGTCTGCGCCTTGGAGACATCCGCAAGGCTCGACCTCTGATTTACAGTTCCCTGCAAGTTCTGACTTGTTGTAATTCCTGTTACTGATTCGATTTCATTGTGATGTTTTGTTGGAGTTGTTGGTATAGCGTTATAATTGTTGGAGGGCCTTATACTGGGACGAGATTACCGGCGCCGAAGAGCTGCCATTGCCGAGATCTGAAGCTCAATAAATCCTGCGTATAAGATTTAAACGCGTAGGTGGAAAAAATTGTTCCGCTAAACCTGCTACATATGACAGATGCGCCAAAAATGAATGCCGCATACATGACCAACAAACCCACCTATCTCTGTAGGCAATTTTGTGAAAGAAATTTGGATTTTGATCCCACATGCACAGTACATACAGAAATACTCATGAATGCTTAGGTGTGATTCGCTAGGACAAAAACAAAAATCGACTTCACCGCTTTTCGCAGCGCGAAACCTTTTCCGCTATGGGAACCCCAGGTCTACCACTGATCAGAAGAGGACCCGGGGGTTCCGCAGCGAAAAAAGTTCCGCGCTGCTAAAAGCGAAAGGTCGCTCTCTGTGCTAGCGAACTATACCCGTAGAGTAGTCCGCGACTATCGCAGATGTGCCGTTGTAGTGAATTGAAAGTGCGCGTTAATGGCACTAGAGCCTTGCAAAGTGATCTGGTGGCGACTGTAGGACTTACGGACGAGATACCTCGGGCTCACCGTCACGCAAAGTCCTGCATTGTCGTCCCGTCTCGCACCCTATCGATTTATTTAGGTGTCTTTTCGACATCCCATAGGCTTTTCAAGCCTCTCCCTAGTAATAGACACCGAGGGCGCCGAGGTAAGAATACAGGGAACGAGCGAGTTTAGAACGGCAGATACTAACGGTGGGCATGAGTTGATGTTGAGCCTGTTTGATGTATTCACGTTTGTAAATTTAAATCCCTAGTGGCAACAGGATCCAGCTGGTAACTGAGTGCAGTTTGGCATATTTAATGACTTGCTGATCGGCCAATGTTAAGTTCAGTTTTCCTCCCATCCATACAAACATGCTACCAAATCT